CCTGTTGAACTCTCATTTTGATTTACTCAGAGCTTAAAGTATTCCGGCACCATGCCGGCAACAAGAGAAAAAAAAAAATAGAGCTTGTGCATGCAGTTTAATTATAGGTTGCTTAAAATAACCGATTAACCGTTACCTAAAAGAGTGCGTTTATAACCGATTAATGGTATCAGTTAAACGATTAAAAAATACAGTTTATAAATCTTTTAAGTTTGGCTGCATAAGGAGCATCTGTTGAATGGTTTACTAACGGCCGCAAGTGTTTTGCCATTGTGTGCTCGAGCGGAAAAAGCGTGTTACCTCAGTCGGTTCTTTTTCATTCATCAATCAAGGAAAGCACTGCAGGGTTTCTGTTGAGGTGACAGCAGTGTTTGAGTTGTCAAGGCGACTATGGCAAACTTTTAATGATGGAGGAGAGATTGGTCGCTGTTTTAAAGAGCCCATATTATGGAATTTGAAAATGCCCTTCCATGTAGTGTGTAACACAACTCTAAGTGAAGTAAAATATCCAGCTAAGGCTTAAATCTGTAAGGGTATAGTGTTTAAAACAAGTGTGCCGCAAGCCTGCGTTTGAGTGAAGGTCTCGGCCGTTAGATCGCTCCCTGGTGGCTGGCTGCAGTGCAAGTACAAGTCATAAAGCCCGCCTCCTCCGTGTTAATGAAGGAGACTTGAGCCCAAATAAAAAAATTAATTACACTTGCAATAAAATGTCCCGAAAGATAGTTCTGGTCGATTAAGGCACTGATTATTGTGCTGAAATAGGTGCAGATCCTCAATTTTGAAAACAGTTTGTTTTTAGCAGTAATTTAATGCTGGGTGTGTCAATGTGATTGACAGTTGTGATTGACAGTTTCTCAAAGCAGCACGTCTGAGCTTCGGCAGAAGACTGAAGTGTTATTATTCGATTTCTGTGTTATTTTACCATGACAAAAGGAGTTCAACAGTAAACTACAGTTTCTGACATACATGATCTGGTGGAACACTGTTTACTCGCTAAGGTCAGAGCTTTTTTTCGGGCTTTATTAGTTTGCTGATACACGCCTAGCCACCCAGATAGCAAAATACACTCGGGCCAGTTCTCGCCTGCCAGAGACTTACCCCTCAGACTGACTGCCTCTGCTGGACATACTCCGGATGCTTATGACAATAAAACTGCACAATAAATGACAAATAAACTAATTTAAGTACGGGGAAAATACAGGTGATCATTAGCAGTAATTTTCTTTATGTGTCTAAAATAATAATCTCCACCTTGATCTCCTGTAAGGCTATTTGAACTTGCTTTACAGGACGTCTCTGCATTTTAAGTTTCGGCATGTTATTTAGTAATCTACTGAATTTGCTGTTATAAGACATTATAAGGTTATTGAAACCAAATCTTATATAGCCTAATAGAGCTGTAAATGTTAGATATTATTTATTTACATCATTTACTGTTGGCATTTTATTTGAAAACTCAAACTAAACATTATAATGAATGTAATTTCCTCGTTGCCAGATACAATGAAGGCATTGAATAAACCAAATGAAAACGGAGGCAAAAAAATTAAATAAATAAACAATTCAAGCGAAAATCAATAAACAATATACTAGAGATGTTAGACATTGTAATAATACTGCAAAGTTCTTTTTTTGCACAAATTGACAAATTGCAGGGTTGGGATGTGTAAATATCCTGTTGATATTTAGTAATCTTGCTGTATTTATCTTCTAAACGCACGACTGTTCCTGCATGGTAAATCGTTATGTGTAGGCTATATTTTGGTTTCTGTTGATGGCTAATTAAAAATAAAAAACCTTTCCTAAAATGTACGTGTTGTTTATATTTTATTGTTCATATTTTACAAGTGTTATTTCTACCCCTATGAAGAAAACAAATACCAACAACCCTGTTATAAGAGAATATATTATTTGTGCCTATATTCAGGCTTGAGTGTATAAAAGATCGTTTATTTCTGCAGTCCAGCATGTATTGCTTTTATTAAAGTTTAACAGCTTACATCACAGCGTTTTTAAACCGTATATTATTCTGTGTTTTTAAATGTAAGTGCTTCTATTTACATCAGCGAGCCTTTGTTATAGTGCAGATACAGTGAGAAGTCAAGTGAGAAGTTTGGGGGGCATGGTTGATTTTACATAATGCGTTTGGTTAGAAGCTTGATTACGCTCATTTTTGTGGCTCCTCCTTTGGCTCCATCAGACAGTCCTTCTGTGCATGTCCAGGCTCCAATTTCAGCAGTCTTTTGCAACAGTTTGTGCCCGTCAAGCAGGCGTTTTGCCCTCAAGGCGTTCTATGGGAAAAGGGGCTGTCACGTCGTCCATATTTTTTTACAGTCATTGGTTTAAAACTGTTGATTCATCTATAAAAGAGTCGACTCATAGTGCTTCAAATGAGTCATCTTGATAAAGAGTCATTAGATGTTTTACCATGATGCAATAATGAAGCCAAGTAGTTTAGCGCAAACCCGGGAGATTTGAAACCTGCGGCCCGCCCTCTAACACAGCAAAAGCCACACACACAAACATGCCGGTCGATTGAAGTCACACTGCAGATGGATATTATTGAGTCTCTACCCAAAGATGAAACCTCAGCATTAGCTCAGCCTTGAGCAGTTGGAAACTACTGGAAACATCTGGAAACTACATGCTACAAAGAATACTTCATTGACCATTTGTTAAAGGAAGGATCAGTAAAGAGTACTGATGGACATGTCAGGACATGGATCGGTTTTTTTCTCCATTTCTCAAGTGTAAGTACATGCGATTAAAGTTGTTGCCTCGTTTACTCTAGCTTGCAAATGTATTTAGTTGTGATTTGTTACTTATAACTGCGTGTACTGTATCAGGTTAACTCGCTATATTCTCATATCGCTTGCAAAGCCACGGTTAAAACGCGACGCGTGCCGCTTTGTTTACAGACCTCCGTGGAGGAGGGTAATGTGTGCGTGCGTTGTCGTCCGAGGGTAATATATGTGTGTGTGTGTGTGTGTGTGTGTGTGTGTGTGTGTGTGTGTGTGTGTGTGTGTGAAAAGTGCAGAGTGTGAGAAGCTAGGAGATCTCCTAGGAGATCTGCTCAATAAAATAGTTAGTCGTCTGTATTTTCAAGTCCATCCTCTATATTTACATTCACCTACTGGCAGCTAAAATCCACGCTTTACACTATGAAGCGTGTATGCACTGTGACTACTTTTATAATGTTGATTAGCTGCTGGGCATTTCACTCTGTCTCTTGCTGAAGGCAGTCAGTGTCGACCAATCACAACAAACTGTCATCGGTCCAATCAGTGCAGATTAGCTTCGCGCTAAGGAGGGGTTTTGGAACAAATGAATCCCTGGATGATACCGTTTACATTAATGCAGACAGATTATGCCTTAAGTACCAAACAAGTGGTTTAAATTATATGTTAGTCTACTTATTTCTTACAGTTTTATTTTAAAGGGCACATAGTTTACCCCTTTTTTATGATTTAATATTACTATTAAGGTTCTTCTGAGTGTGCCAGTTTAGGTTCAGTTCAACACACAGTTTAGATGTTTTTATTATAATGTGTTTAAAAGTGTTCATTTGGGGGCGTTTACACAGTTTGCTGTTTTAGGGGCGTGTAGCTTCACATGGAAAGAAGTTTCAAATTCCCCCCCAACGTTACAAGGGGTGGAGCCAAGAGCACGCTCGCTCTGTGATTGGAAACAAGCAGGCAGACAGAGACACTGCATGAGAAGATAAGCCTCGGCCACAGACCAAGCAGAGAGTACACAATCATGTGTGTCAATGTATAGTTTCTCAGCAAACTGTGTGCTAGTTTAAAGTGCCGAGCTTGTACACAGACTAATAACCACGCACACTGCATTAACTTTGACTGAGGCACCGGATGACCCACTAGAGCCCGAACATGGCACACCAGACACGGACATTCGCATGTTCAGATGGCACTCTGGTAGAGATCAGCGCGGGACTAAATATTGAATCCCACCAGGTTCTAACCCGAATTCAACCGCTTCCGCTCATATTCAGGATGTGTTGTCCCGCTGCCCGACACACCCGTTTTCTACACGCCGCCGGAGAACAAAACCTAAAAACCACCCAGCTATACAGAGTCCAGACAGCCTAAAACAAGCTGTCTGTGTAAACACACACACATAAGTACGGTCTTTCTCTCTCTCTCACACACACACAGACAGCAGCACAAAGTTCTCTCTCTCACACACACACACACACACACACACACACACACACACACACACACACACACACAAACACACAATCACACACACACAGAGCAACAAAGAGACACCACGTGAGGCAAAGGCGTCCGCATTTCCAGCTGCACCTTGTTATAATGTGGTGAAAAGGCTCGGGCTTTATCCAAATTTTGATGCTGTGTGTGTGTGTGTGTGTGTCTCTCCCTCTCTTACACACACACACACACACACACACACACATTACAGGTGACTTGGGGCCTACTCACACTACTCACATCCATACCGTGCCCAGGCCCGTTTCCCGGATCGTTTGAGAAGTGTAAGTGCACTGAATCGTGCTCAAGCACGGTTCACTTGGCCGGCCCTGGCCCGGTTGGAAGAGGTGTGCCTGAGCGCGGTTCACTTGGGCTTTGGCACGGTACACTTGTGTGTGAGTGCAAAACGCGCCAAAGCCCGAAACTGAAAGCGATATGTGACTTTTGGTGTGTGACTCGAAATCTTACCTCACCTCTCTCTCCTCCACACTGTCCCGTCATGACAATCACGCATACTCATTTCTAGGAATTAAATAAATTATATGTATTATTTATTACTTGTCTCCTACTTAAGTGAATTGTTTTTATGACAGTATAACGGTATTAGAACTGACACCGTTGCTATTTTTAGATCCTGCGGTATACCATATTACAGCCCAAGCCTAGTGGTGAATCATCTGATTTTTATAGAGCACGTGTAATATTCATTAATATTAGTTATTTGAATTCTTGTATTCACTAAGGTGCCGCTGTCATCATTAACCTGCAGGCTGCATTTTGCTCATGGGGCTGTGAGAAAATAAATAAAAAGAGCGGAACTGCAGCAAAATAATGAATAAAAAAAGAGTGAGGCTATGGTCAATAAAAATTGCACTAGCAACAGGTATGATTATGAATTTGTTGATACAAAAGTTTATTTAGGCCAGTAGGCTTACTAAATGCAACATTCAATTTGAAATAGGCCTATATATTTTCTCTTTTTTTCTGCAAATTGTATGTAAACTTATGACTTAAATAAATTAAATGACTTAAAAACTTACAATTTTCAGAGTGTGTGTTGCAATTAAAGTGCTTATTAAATGAAGAGTCAGGTGTCTTTAAAGCTTTGGAAAATGGCTAATAAGAAAAGGACAAGGACTTAAATGCTTTTTACAAGTCGAAATCAAAAATGAGACAAGTGGTGTATTAGAGTGTTGCTAAAACAATATTTCTTATCTCAGTTTAATTGAATTAACTTCAAACTCAATAAACACTGATGCTGGCTGACAACTAATAACTATTTAAAGGCATTCATTATGATTTTGATAGGATCAACTTTTATGTTTCCCTTTTAATATAAATATATTTTCTTTGAAATCTAAATGTATATTTTTTCTGCCAATGTTGCTTAACACTCCCTTGCCTGAACATGAAATGAAAAAACATCAGCAGCTGTGAAGCAGTGAAGGGTTAATTAAATCTTCATTTTCCACGGAGCGGAACAAATCATCACCGCACAGTTAGACAGGCACAAACAAAAATATAATTCATATACGTTTCTTGGAAAAAAATTCTATTTGAAACAAATTTCGTTAGCTATGATTTGTATCTTAATTGTTACGTATTTTTTGTTGGTCAGTTAACTACTAGATAACAAAAAAAGAATAATCGAAAACCTTTGAAGTGCAGTGAAACAAGTCCGCTATAGGCCCATGCTTCAGCACCAAAACACGAGTTGCCCGTGAGATTGTGTTGGTTTGGTAAATAAAATTATAATCTAGCCTAAATAAAATTAAAGTTAAATATTCACAGTTTCAGAGAAGCCTATATAAAACTGTTATTATTAATGACACATTGGAATAAGCAGGGCAGTGTAGCGGAATTAGCTCAGTTTATGAATATTAATAATCAGTAATAACGAGTTATTGTTAACTATTAATATCCTGAATTAACCTATTGTTAATTTGACTAAACATCAATATATCAATATATATCAATGACTTCGCCCGCTTGTCCGAGCGGACTCTCAGATTATGAATATTAATTATCAATAATAAATAATTATTATTAATATTCTTAATTTGACCAAATAAATATAACCAGACCAAGCCGCTCGTCTGAGCGGACTCTGTAATGATCTATTTATTTAGAAAAGGTAATTATAACCACTCCTTGTGAAGTAGATTAATAGTTTATAAGTTTTGTTCAACTTAATAACAGCTTGTAGCAAAAATAGATCGTTTAAGTGATTTTGTCTGTGAGGCGAACGATACAATCCATTTGATTATAATGGGGTTTATTGACTAGTCTGATATGTAACAAACAAACACACAAACATAACAACAAAAACATAGAACAAACATGGAAAAGAAACCAAGCGAAGAAATTAAGAGATTAGATAAAAGAATGGCAAATCTACCTCAGTTCCACACACTATTAAGGATCACCAAGACTATAAAAACACCTTTTTGATCAGGGGCACAGCTTTATCACATAACTAAATACCTGGATTTAGTGGGTTTTTTCTGTCTCTCTTTTTGCAAGTTTTTCCAATGCGCTGGAGGATGGAGTCATTTGATGTCCTTGAGGAGTGGAACTTGGGCTGCAGATCAGAGGGTATGTTAGGCGTAAACTTTAATTGTTTTTTTTTTGTTTTTTTGTTTTTTTAAATAAGAAATGCGCGGACTCAAGCGAGGCATGCAGGTACAGAAATGCGGTTTGTCCCCTCAAAGGGGGGCACCTCTTCGCAAGGTTTTTTCGGACCTTTCTGCGCAGTGCTGTGGACGCAGCTGGGTTGTAACTGTGGTGGCAAATCACACCCATTATCTACTGACTGACCAATGGTTTCCTGGCATAGTTTGATTTGATTGAATTTTCTTTGTCTCTGGACCGCTAATATGCAAAATAAAGGTCCGCCCAAAAGCATGGGAAGAGATATTAACTACGAGCATTAAAAAAATGTAAGCTATATAAATTATAATCATGCCTACTACAACATGAGCTGTAGGATTGTGTAAGCAACAGATAGGTACCACAGATGACAATGTTAGAAGTACATAAACATGATTAAGGCATTCTTAGCTGCCCATCAACCCATCTGTAAATATGCAGCCTGTTTTTTGATTACCTGACCAGCTCATTAACAGCAAAACCCGCTAAAATAACTGATAAATTATGTGCTCCTACTGGGCCGTGTCACTCACGTGGTGGAACTTGTCGTAAAGAACGAGCAAAGATTAAACATGCTAGACTTTCTGTGACAGTGTCATGAGGCATCGCAGGCATGGAATCGGTTGTTGTGAACTATGCCACATTACACGAGAAGAAACGATTGAATCTTACGACGTCTATTTGTCGTTTACGAATCTCTACAACACCCTACGTCAAGAAAATCATGCCAAAATCATGTGATCTGACCGGGGACATAATCTTTAATCTAATGACTTTTACTAAAAATGTCGACTAAGGTTTTGTGAAATAACAACAGTGGAGCATTAATTAAATGCATATTTCCTGTGGAGCGATCGAGTTGAGGTAGTCTGATATTTTTATTTGACAGAAGAAAAAAAAAAAAACATCACTGGACACCGCTGACCCTCGGCAGCCTTTCCTGGACCAGCTCCATCTTCTGGTCCAAATGTCTTGAAAAGAAAGAGTTTGCAGGACTTTGCTTACAACCCAGGAAAAAAAAAGAGTGATAATGGCTTTGATTTCACTTCTAGGGCTCTATTTTGACGATCCATGCACAAAGCGCAGAGCCAGGGGTGCAAATGCTTTCAGGGCATGTCAGAATCCATTTGTGCTAATAGAAGGACGAAAAAATCCGCTTTGCAACGTGGAGCATGGTCTAAAAGGGTTGAGTTTATTTTCTTAATGAGTTATTGAAAATAAACCAATCAGAGTCTCATCTCCCATTCCCTTTAAGAGCCTGTTGCGTCACGCCATGGCACATTTGCTATTTACATGACGTAAAGTAAGTGTAAGTGGAAAAACTGAGCATTTCACTAGCAAGAAAACAGTTAAACAGAGCATCTACCCTGCGAGAATGTGAGATAAGGGATCTCATAATCTAGTTTCATTTTAAATTTTGTTTGTTTTTAATTAAGTTTGTTAAGCACAACGATTTGTTTCAAAACTATTTCTAAATTCAGTTCTAATTTCCAGCAAACGAAAAAATGAACAATAATAACGAAGTCTGTTCAAAAACCTGAGTTTTATCCTAATACACATGCTGTGTCTCATATGGTCTAAAACCTGACAGATGGGCAAATCTAAGCTTGTTTTAACAAAACATATAAATACGCATTTAATAAATCATACTGCTAATAATAACATTATACAAAAGCAAATTGAATGAACTGAAAAAGCCTCCCAAGATGAAGAAAGTATAAAGGTAGTGGTTTTTAAATTCACGTAGGCTAGAAAAATAATATGTTTTGTAATATTTTAATCCTTTATATTTATATCCTATGTATATCCTTATTATATCCTACATATATCCTTAATATTTTATATCTTTTTCATATGTAACGATATTTGCGTATTGCTCTACATCTTGTGTGTATTAAGCAGTCTGTAACTTGTCCAGGCCACTCTTCGCCAGACAATAGACCGGCTTTGTTCTGGTCTAAAGAACAGACTATTATAGTTACTCAAAAAAGCAACGCGCCAAAACACACCTTTTTTAGATCAGAACGCCTATGGGTGCACATATGAGCGCAAATGCATTTGCTATTTAAACAGCGGGGCGCAACACCTCAAAATAACTTTTGCGCCAAGTTGAAACTAGCAAATAACTATTGCGTCGCGCCTTGCGCCACATAGTGCCGGATGTATGATAGGACCCCCAATCTTCAGTTTAGCAGTTAAGTTCTTTACCATTTTATAGCACTTGTTATTTAAGCACTAGTTATTGTTTAGAAGAAAACACTTTATTTGACAGTACTTTTAAATTAATGGTGCAAAGCATAATCTCATATCTCAGTCTCAGTTTACAAGTTTTAAGGCAAGGCAAGCCTTATTTATATATTTTAAGGCAAGTTTATTTATATAGCACATTTCATACACAGTGGCAATTCAAAGTGCTTTACATAAACAAGAATGAAAGAAAGTAAAATAAAAATAAAAACAAATAATAAAAATGAGTAAAAAAAAACATAAAAACAGGTAGAAAGTGATATAAAAGAATGAAGAAAAAGTGAAAAACATAATAGTGCAATCTGTCAGACGCAGCAGTGCTCATTCAGTAAAGGCACAGCTAAACAGATGTGTTTTCAGTCTTGATTTGAATGTGCCTCATGTTGGAGCACATCTGATCATTTCTGGAAGCAGATTCCAGCAGCGGGGGGCATAGTGGCTGAAAGCTGATTCACCCTGCTTTAATTGAATTCTTGGAACTTCTAGTTTATATGATCCTAAAGATCTGAGTGATCTGTTGGGTTTGTGTTCAGTGAGCATATCTGTAATGTATTTAGGTCCTAGGCCATTTAATGATTTATATACTAGTAATAATATTTTAAAGTCTATTCTGAATGTAACTGGCAGCCAGTGTAAAGACCTGAGGACAGGTGTGATGTGCTTTAATTTCCTGGTTCTAGTCAGAATGCTGGCGGCAACGTTGTGGATGAGCTGTAACTGTCTGACTGTCTTTTTGGGAAGGCCAGTGAGGAGGCAGTTACAGTAATCCACCCTGCTGCTGATGGAAGCATGAACAAGTTTCTCTTGTCTTCACTGGAAACAAAGCATCTGATTCTTGTAATGTTTTTGAATGATAGTATGCTGATTTAATTACTGCTTTGACATGACTACTGAAACTCAGATCTGACTCCAGAGTCACACCAAGATTCTTGACCTTATTTTTTGTTGTTTGACCCTTAAAGCCAAGGTACACATTCACCTTGAGAACCTCATCTCTGTTCCCAAACGCAATGACTTCAGTTCTCTCTTTGTTTAACTGAAGAAAGTTTTGGCACATCCAACTGTTCATTTCATCAATGCACTGGCAGAGGGTATCAATGGGGCTGTAGTCGTTAGGCAGTAAGGCTAGGTAGATCTGAGTGTCAACAGCATAGCTGTGGTAGGAGTGGTTCTGTTGGTTCTTTCTCATTATTTGGCTCAGAGGGAGAATGTAAAGGTTGAACAGGAGAGGTGCCAGAAGCGACCCTTGTGGGACTCCACATGTCACTGGTGTCCACCTCGACCTGTGGTCACCTATACTAACATGGTAACCTCTTCCTTCAAGGTAAGATCTAAACCATTTAAAGGCCGTGCCAGACAGCGCAACCCAGTTTTCCAGCCTATCCAGAAGTATGCTGTGATCGACAGTGTCAAATGCGGCACTGAGATCGAGCAATACCAGCATTGTTAGCTTGCCTGAATCTGTATTTAGGCGTATATCATTGATTATCTTTATAAGAGCGCTCTCTGTACTGTGATGTGCTCTGAAAAAAGATTGAAAATTGTCTTAACACCCCCTGAAGCTTAAGAACTTGTTAACCGGGTTAAAAACAACTTTTTTAATGATTTTGCCAATAAAAGGGAGATTTGATATTGGCCTGTAGTTGCTCAATAGGGTGTTATCCAGGTTGCTCTTCTTCAAGAGGGGTTTAACAACTGCAGTTTTAAGCAAGTTTGGAAAAATCCCTGAAAGCAGTGAAGCATTTACCACTTTTAGAAGATCCATTTCTAAACAGGTAAACACAGTTTTAAAGAATGATGTGGGGAGCGTGTCTGCAGGTTGATGTTTTCATAATTTGCACAGTCTCTTCTAAGATTTTACCATTAATTGCCATGAAATCAGACATAATATCTGATTTCTTAAGTTGTGGTTGAGCTAGTTTGACTTCGACACAAATTGGCTGATTGGATGAGCTGATTGCCTTTCTGATATTATTGATCTTGTCAGTAAAGAAATGAGCAAACTTATTACATTTGCTTTCAGAGAGTAGTTCACTTGGAAGAAAGTAGAACTATATTTTAGCCTTTATTTCATCTACAACATAACATGATGCACAAATTTGCTAGAGATAGCATTCATTCCTAGCTAACATGACTTTCTCTACCACTTCAGTTAAAACGATTATCATTTGACAAGCATCTACTAATTTTTTTTGACAAATTAAGTACTCTGAAATACACATGTGCAAAACACTGTTACTGTCAGTAGCTATTTTTCCACCCAAAAATGCTAATGAACGTTATGCGCAAAACTGGATCATCGCATAAATGACATACGAATAAAGCAGCATTTTCATCCAACGAGTCAAAGCAAACAAAATAGTCACTTCCTGATTAACTAGCGCCAAATATCAACAGTAAAAACTGCATTTGCTGCTGTAGGAGAAGCTTCGTCAATCTTTTCATCATCTAATAATTTACTCAGAAGGAAATACTGCCATGCATTAAATTCCTAAATATAAGATCACTTTTTGTAAAAGGTGCAGTAGGTGATTGTCTTTTTGTTGTGGTGGTTGAAAGTCTCTTCACAGTCTAATAGTAATGATTAAAGTAATTAATCTAAATGTATTTATATGTTTTTATATATTTTTTGCAAATGCAGATTTATACAATTGCGCAGCCTTTTGTACGCAGCTTTCACAAGCATGTGATCTGTAAAAACCTGCTGAAACAAAATTTTTAAAAACCTAAATCTATGTTGGAGTTACCTTTGCACGCTGAAGAAAGGATGACACCATGTCTGAAGGATTTCTCTTAGACAGGTAATGTTCTGTTTTAAAACTGTTTTAGCTTCACGCAAAGCTGATGTAACGTTAGATGTTGTTGTTACAAATGGGTTATATCTTCACAGAAGTGTTGTTCAGCCATTAAAATCTTCTGATGAAAGATTGATAAGACTACTTTCAGTTTCATAAGGGACCTTTTACAGCATCGATAATGTAGATTTTTATTAGTTTAACAACAAAACACTAGTAAATACTGCTATTCCGCCTAGTCTCTCCCTATATTGTTTACCATGCAACTCTAAATATTTGCTCTGAAATAGCATGTCAGTTTGGCTAGCATGCCGCTTGACAAGCACTAGTCGCTTTTACACCTGAGAGAGGGTTCTTTTGCTGTGCTCGTGTTTAAGGAGGTGTGGCTCTAGACAGCAAGGGAGGGACTGTGATTCAGAGATTTATGCTAAGCTGTTAGCATTGTGGACGATCACCTACTGCACCTTGAAATAAGTTTCAAAATGTTGATTTTGATTGAAAAAAATAATAATTTAACCATCAAAATGAGACTGGAAAATTAAAAACTGTTAGAATTTTGGGCACAATTTTTACTGATTTTAATACAGTTAATTGCAAATCGCACTATGGAGAAAACAACAAAACAACAGTAAATACAGATTACTTTATATATTACAAACAAGAACATAAAACATCTTTTTTAGAGCCTGTCCAGCTGGCATTAAATTTTGAACAAAATCCCATCTTTGTTAAGCCATTATTTTTGTTAACTCAGACTTGTGTATGAGTCGCACCTCTCTCTTTGACCTGCTGTATTCATCAATGGCATACTGGTATTTAGCTGAGGTGATGCCAAAAAGCGATGCCATCCGCTCACCGAGGTAGTCACAAGCTGAAAGATAGTAAAGGCAGAATTTAACAGTTATTTGAACCTAACATTTGCTATTATAAACTGTAATAATTAAACCCATCTACATGATTTTATAACTATATAGTATAGTTTTAAAGTGTTTTAAAAAAAGTTTAATACTTCTTTCAGGGGTCAAAAGATTTCAAATGATTTCTGTAAATTTTAAGGGGAGCATTACAATACAAACCAAGAATACAAAAATGAATCATATATTTTTTAAGCTTGAAGATGTTTCTCTTGTTTTGCAAATCTGAATAAAACATCAAAGCCAACATCGTGTCATATTCATTTAACATCATTTGCAATGGCTCGAGGATGAGTTCATTGCAAATTGTTCAGACACTAACATTAACACAGAAAATTATTTTGTAATCCCCAGGCATGATTACTCATGCACATCTTGTCCTTATGCCTGTGCACAGAATACGAATATGATTTGTAACAGTTTGGTTAACCAAAAAAAGAAGTCAGGAGTACATTTACATGATGGCAATGTATGGACAACCATCATCAAAATTATCCAAGATTGCAGTGATCTGCAAAATTGCCCAAACCGAAGTATTATGCATGTCACTTTGCAGAGAAACTGCAAAACATGTACAGTCCTGTAATCAACCATTGTTGTTTTATAAAATACTTGTGCATGCTGCAAATACATTAAACATTTAATTACAGAGCCTCCACAAAAGTATTCATAGCGCTTAACTTTTTCCACATTTCATTATGTTAAAGCCTTATTCCAAAATGGATTAAAATTCATTTATTTCCTCAAAATTCTACACAAAATATCCCAGTGTGTAAAAAGATTTTTTTTTAAATTGTTGCAATTTTAGTAAAAACGAAAAACCTGAAAAATCACATGTACATAAGTATTATTCACAGCCCTTGTCGTAAAGCTCTAAATGGAGCACAGGTACATTCTGTTTTCACAGATCATTCTTAAGATGTTTCAGCAGCTTAATTGGAGTTCACCTGTGATAAATTCAATTGATTGGACATGATTTGAAAAAGCATACACCTGCCTATATAAGGTCCCAGGGTTGACAGTGCATGTCAAAGCACAAACCAAGCATGAAGACAAAGGAAGCGTCTATAGACCTGAAAGTTACAATATTGAAAGTTATTATGTCATACAATAAAATTGAATGACACCCCTACATGGGTCATGTGCTCAAATCATTTTTTTTTTTTTAGGATCCGATTCATTGAAATGAGCTAATAAATCCCTGATCGATCTTATAATGTAGGTTGATCCACTACATAATCTAAATTTGTAATTTAAGTAAAAAATATATTGGGCAGGACTATTTCTTCTTTTTAAAATAAATCTTTGCTGTTGGAAATTCAGGTGCGAGAAGATGTTTCAGAAGATGTAACTGTTGTTAATAGGTTCTGTATATTGCTGTGCGCACGTTAAAATAATTCAGTATTTTAAAATGCAATACTTAATGTGTCAGACACAAAATAAAATTGTGTGCGTGTGTGTGTATGTATATATATATATATATATATATATATATATATATATATATATATATATATATATATATATATATATATATATATTAGGGGTGTAACGATTTATTGCGATGCAAAAATGTCTTGATTTGCATCGTGGCATTATGACGATTTGATTACGATATGACGCCGAAGAAATAGTAAACCTGCCTAAACTGCTGAAAAGAGCCACGACTGTCCTGTGTAATGAAAAGACGGCCCCCCTGTCACTCATCATGCCCAACATGAAGACAGCCATCCATAAAAACCTCTCAGACAGATACACATGAGTTCAGGATTATCTTATAGAACTGCTGATTACCTGGAAATGTGGATTTTTTTTGCACACACAAAAAACGCAAGTGAACAAGCAAAGCCTTAAGCTCTTACTGTTAAATTCAATTGAATAGAAAGCTTTTTTTTTTGCACCTTTACTTAAATTGTTCCTTAATTTTGTCTCTGTCATTTCAATAATATTTTTAAAGAAGTTTTTAAATTGTTTTATTTTCCAGAGACAGGCCGGTTTAATACATTTTCTAAAAGAAGGTTCAGTTTAACAAGTTGAAACAAAAGAAATACATAAAAAATAGTTTACTTGGTAAAATTTGCATTTCAGTTAAATTTTCAATTTTTATTCCAAATATCGTGATACATATCGAATCGTGAACATTATATCGTGATACACATCGTATCGTGAGCTGAGTGTATCGTTACACCCCTAATATATATATAATATATATAAGGGTTGCGCCGACAGATGATAGTATCGTGTATCGACGATAGGCAAAGATATTGCCAAGTGCTGGAACTTATAACGATTTTAAAGAAGATATTTAGCTCGTTTCGCATCAATAGATCTATTACATGTTTTAAGTGCATTATTGAAAAAAAATTAATAGTATTATTATTTTTAAACATTGTCATTAATAATAAATTAACTACAAATAATATGACAGCTTCAGCTGTTCACATCAACATCACCTGACCGACATTTTCGGACAAAAATGAATGACTTCGATTGCGCTTTTGCGCTCTCTCTCTCAGCAGCAGCGGAAGTGCAAGCTGTAGGTGAAGGCACAGCCACCTCTCAGAGCAAATTAGTTTGCAACTTTGCTGCCTAAAATAATAGGTTAATAGCAAAACTGAATTTAATTAACAAACAAGTTAAATAAAACGATTTGTAAAAATAAAACAACTAAAGAAGAAAATTAAAGAATTCTAAAACCAGCTCAGATATTCAGGAATAAAACGTGTTGAGGTCGTTGATCATTTGAGACTTTATAACAGCACTCCTGCAAGATTCTTTCTTGCTTTCACAAAAAAAAAGCTATTTATCTTTTATATCCGTTATTAATAGCCTATTTAAGTTTTAAGGGGGGCTATAGACTATATTTTTTGTGCATGCATTGACTGCTCCTTCAAATACATGGGATATACATGTCTTATTTGTGTTTAATTCAATAGAATGATAAACACGAACATGCGCCTCTTTCAGAAAATAACCTATTTATTTAATTAAAAAATATGTTAGGCCTATATTTATTTTTCTGGGCTATTAAATATTTTATTTAAACTAGCCTATATTAAGTTAAATTACAATATGTATTTTACCATTCGTTTTGGCATTAAAGAATTATTAAACAGATTATTAATAACTTATCAAAGAACATTTTACTGAGCTCATTGAAAAGTTTTAGGTCAAACAGGCCATTTAATATTAGAGCAATTGCCGACTTGCTGCAGCCATGTCTAAAATGAAAATTTCATCCGAAAACAATAAACATATAGCCTATGCCAAGCGCAATAATTGTGTTAGATCTTAGCAAATACAAACGTGACACTGTTGATTACTTTTGTGATGATTAGAGCTGAAGCCGCACCGCGCTCAACTGAACAAAAACATGGAAAACTTCACCGCTATTTCACGTGCAAGGCAGCAAATCCTCCATCCGCTTCCTGTCTGAAAGAATCTTAAGCATCCTTGTTTCTTTCTTGCCGAGATAAATATCATTTCATTTGCTTTCATTCATGTATATTAGATCCATTTTGCAGCAGTCCCGCGGGCAGCGGAGACTGGCATGAACCCGAAGTCACCTTTAAATCCTCTCCCACGCCGCAATGTTGCATCGAGTCTTTGAAATCATTTCAGTGTCAGTGCCTATTTAGCTGCAAGAGCGTGGTGATTTGCATTGGTTTGAATTATTATCCAAGATCAAACGCCATTCAAATGCAGTAGGTTATTAAATAAGTAAAAAAATCTGCCGAAAGGTTATTAAATATCTTTAGATATGGTTAAATACAATAATGAAATATTCTATACATAAACGTAACACTGCTGCACCCCCATGCGATAGTATCATGTATCAGCGAACTCACAGGGGGACGATATGGCGATCTGAAAATTTTGTATATCGCCCAACACTAAAATATATATAGATATACAGTTAAAGTCAGAATTGTTAGCCCCCTGTATTATTAGCCCCACAGTTTATCTTTCCCCCAATTTCTGTTTAACAGAGGGAAGGTTTTTTTAAACACATTTCTAAACATAATAGTTTTAGAAAACCATTTTTTAATAACTGATTTTTTTTTATCTTTGGCATGATGACAGTAAATAATATTTTACTAGATGTTTTTCAAGACACTTCTATACAGCTTAAAGTGACATTTAAAGGCTTAACTAGGTTAATTAGGTTAACTAGGCAGGTTAGGGTAATTAGGCAAGTTGTTATATAACGATGGTTTGATCTGTAGACTATCAAAAAATAATTTGCTTAAAGGGGCTAATAATTTTGTCCCTAAAATGGTCTTTAAAAAATAAAAACTGCTTTTATTCTAGCCGAAAAACAAATAAGACTTTCTCCAGAAGAAAATATATTATCAGACATACTGTAAAATTTTCTTGCTCTGTCAAACATAAATTGGGAAATCTTTAAAAAAAAAAAAAAAAATTTAAAAGGGGACTAATAATTCTGATTTCAATTGAATAATATATATATATATATATATATATATATATATATATATATATATATATATATATATATATATATATATATATGCATATAGTACATCAGAAATCTGGAATGGGCTACAAAAACATTAGCAAGATGCTGGGTATTAAAGTAACAACTATTGGTGCAATTGTGAGAAAATTTAAGAAGTATACCCTGACCATCAATAGACCTCGGTCTGGTGCTCCACAAAAGATTTCACCTGTGGGGTGGCAATGATCTTGAGAAATGTGAGAAATCGGCCTGCAACCACACAGCAGGAGTTAGTGAATGACCTCAAGGCAGCTGGGACCACAGTCACCAGGAAAACAATTGGCAACACTTTGCGCCGCAATGGATTAAAATCCTGCAGTGCCCGAAAGGTACCCCAGTTTAAGAAGGCACATGTGAGGGCCCACCTAAAGTATGCCAATGATCACCTCAAAAGATGTACAAAGTGATTGGGAGAAGGTTCTGTGGTCAGACGAGACC